TGTAAATTAGAGTCTGGGGATGAAACAGGAATAAATTCATTGGTGTAGCATAGATTCCTCCCAGAAACATATGATATTGCTTTTGTTACCTGAGTTTGCCCTCAGGAAATAGATTGTCAAGCTTAAGGCTACCAAATTTGGGTTGTAGAACTAGGCTATCACTAGATGGCAGAGTTTCTTGTATATTTTTTGCTGCCATCTACCATTTTTTTCCAAGTGAGATCAGTAATGCCTAATTTCTTTTAGTTTCATTTTTAAAGGAAAAGTAGCTTATTTATTTTTCTTATTACAATATGGGTAGCTATTACATTAACATAATTCCAAGATACATTATAGAAAAAAATCTACCATGTAAAGTAAATCAGGTACTGTATATGTGAAAAGTTATCATATATAAGAAGTACTCCGATTATTGTTGTTATTGTTGTTATTGTTGTTATTGTTGTTATTGTTGTTATTGTTGTTATTGTTGTTATTGTTGTTATTGTTGTTGTTGTTATTGTTGTTGTTGCTGCTGCTGTTGCTGTTGTTGCTATTGTTGCTATTGTTGGTATTGTTGCTATTGCTGCTATTGTTGTTATTGTTGTTATTGTTATTGTTGTTGTTGTTATTGTTGTAAATCATACAATCTAACTAATTTGATCAAATTATTGTTCCTGCTTCTGAAATCTCATGACTTTTAGTGGGAAAAATCATAAAATTAATTTTGTGTATGATTATTTCCCTAATAGCTTTTCCAAATCCAACCAAACTAAACTCAAAATTCAACTCACAGCTCAAAACTGTGACTATGTGTACATTTGTATCTTTTTTTTAAAGAAGTTGCAAGTTAGATGTGTTGTAAAGCCTAAAATAAAATACTTCTGTGACCTAAATTAGCACAATCTTTGTTAAAGGAGTGCCTTCTAGATGGGTAGATGGACTTCGTTCCTCATAATTCCCTAGCTAGTTTGGCATTCTGGTTGTGAGTTGTGGAGGCTATCTTCTAAATCATGTAGAAACTCCAGATTGAGAAAAATATGTCTTAATTCATCATTCACATGACAAATGATCTCAAGCGCCTGTTGACCCAGAAACAAAATATACAGCTTCATCATTAATAGAAAGAGCTAATTGATTAGACTGTGATTGTCCTCAGTGAAGCAGATCTTAAGCAAATTAGTTGTGTTATGATCATGCTGCAACTGAAAACAAATCAGGGACTATACACATGAGAAAACTTCTGCGTTTACGCTTCGTGTGTTTAACTTGCTAAACAGGCTTACCGGGATCAAAAGGAGAACCTGGTGAAAGTGGAATCATGGGCCCAAGAGGATTAACTGGTCATAAAGGAGAGAAGGGAGAGAAGGGGAATGAAGGCTTGCCAGGTAAGTGAAAGCAACCAAGGGCTATATTGAATGCCACATTTAGAACACGGAGGATAGTCAAGTACTCAGTATATTTTCAGTGTTTATGAGACATTTACTATTTTTAGAAGTAAATAGTAGGAACATGATATGGGTTAGTATTACAGTATAATTCAATCAGCAACTACTCAGACAACAAACAAACCGTAGTCAGCCATATTTTAGGAGTTCCCTTTCTTTCTTATTGGCATCTTAGCAATCTTTGCAGTGTTTGACTAGTTGGTCCGTCCTGCTTTCTTTATTAATTAGGGAGGAGGGGGGGTAAGAAAACATAGTGACCTAACAGAACAGAGATCTACAACTCAGAGAGTGGAGAAAAACCCAAGTTTCACATCTTCCATAGGGAATGAAATAGAACTGGGAACAGCAGAGTTCTTCTGGCAGTTTGAGGCCATTCATTCTTCTTGTCTTTGTGTCTTGAGACTCAAAGGGAAATTTAGCTGTGGAGTAATAAATACCATGGCTAGGTAAACAATATAGGACTATAGGTGAGATCTGTAAAACTACTACAAGCTATGGTTTTATAGGTTATGTTTAACCCATTTGTCTATACTCTGGGTTCCTACATCATATTAGTTTAACCATATCATGGCTTAGGGCAGTGGTGGGTTTCAAAAATTGTTGGAACCTACTCTGTGGGTGTGGCCTCCTTTGTGGGCGTGGCACATGAGTGGCCACCCATGTGACCGGATGGGAGTGGCTTGCTGCCCATATGACCAGATGGGAGTGGCTTGTTTATTCAAGGTACCAGCTTAATTAAAAGTGTTATATAATATCAGTATCACTTAACAAAGCTCCTGCTTAGCAACCAAAATGTTGGCTCAGAA